AATCAAGTGTATTAGCGTTATCTTATTCCTGCACATTTGCTATTGGATTCTTCATGATCGAGTAATTATTTAGTTTATTAATAAAATAAGGAGGGTCGTCTCTCTTTCTCCTCCTCGACACCAATCATCCTCTTTTTACGCGGAGTTAGGATTTAAAGTTTATGAGTTCCGAATTTGTCGTGGAATCTATAGCTCGTCTTTGTTACTGGGTTCGCAATTAAATATTTATACATATTTAGTGAATTTCTTGATAAAAATACAATGTCTAAAAAAAGTGACTGGGTTCGATCGAACCCACACCTAGTAGGCTCGCTCCGCCCCTGCTTTTATGTGGCACGAGTTTCTCTTTGGCCGTAATATTTTCACTTGTTTTTAGATATTTTGAATCGTTAATTATAGTGACTTATAATACTTGTTACATAGTTTTCAAATATATAAATTTTATTTCAAAAAATTTATAGATTTTTGTCTGAATTTGACTTTCGAAATTCGATCTCCATCACATAAATTGCGATAAAGGAAATAGCTAATTACAAAGTCAAATCTCTATGTATTTTAAAGTCATATATGTAAAGTAGTATTAGTACTACATAAATTTGATACCGAAAACTAATTAATCATATAATACAAAGTTTGGTATGACGATTAACTCGGGTTATATTTTGGAAAAATATTATTACATAGTTGCTCTGAANATATATATATATATATATATATATATATATATATATATATATATATATATATTTTATATATTTTATATATTTTTATAATTATTTAATATAAATAATTTTTAGCACGAGTTAAAAGTGATTTTTGCCTTTATATTTTCTTGTCCATCAAACCAAATTCTCTTTAGATGCAAAAATAAATTTAAAATTTATGAGTTCAATCACATTAATCCCATCCGAGTAAAAGCTTTAAGACCCAGGCCTTCCAAAAAAGAGACACTACCGTGTTAAATACGTGCCTCAAAACCCTACCCTACTCCGATTTACGCTCTCCTACCTCTTTCTTCTTCCTATACTATACTAATGTATAAAAACTAGGCCGGCCCATCAAAAATCAAAATCCCCACTTCTCTCTCTCATTGGTGGCTTTCGTTGCTCCGTTTCAACAGACCGTCATTCTCGTATTTATAAACCCTTCTCTTCTTTCCAAAAAATATCAAGATCAGCTCTTGAAATATATAAACGCTTTCACATTATTCTCAATTTTATTTTATGTATTAGCAAAATGTGGAGAACTTCGTTTAATTTATTGAAACGTACTGTTACATCAGCGTCTATCAGTTATGGGACAAGAACATTTCCCATTTCGGTTATGGAGTATCGATCCGGGTGTTTTTGCGGGTCGACCCGATTGATGGGTGGGTACTATTTCAGCTCAGTTTCAACAGGGAATGGAGAAAACAAGAATAATGTGAATAATGGGGATTTTATTACGCACGAGGAAGCTAAGAGGTTGATGAGATTGGTGAATGTTGAGGAGCTGAAGTGGAAATTAGGGATGGAGAATACTGAGGTTATTGGGTACAGTGAGCTGTTAAAAGCTTGTGAAAAAATGGGTGTGGCTAAAACGCGTGATGAGGCGGTTGGTTTTGCTAGAGTACTTGACGAAGCTGGTGTCATTTTGCTCTTCAGAGATAAAGTTTACCTTCATCCTGATAAGGTATTTTTATTATCCTGATTTATTTTTATCTTTGTGGATTTATTTTGATTTTTGTTGTTGCTGTTTTGGGATGTGGGGTAGTGTAAAAAGGTGTTTGATTGATGATTCTTGTCTAAGATTAACGTTGTCTAACTGTAATATCTGAAGATATCATGAAAAAGGAGAGATCTTTGGGGAATATTGATTTGGCGTTTGGTTTCATTGGCATCTAAGATGTGGGATAGGATACTGATTTTCCTTACTAATGCTTTTTATTTGTTTATGCATAATATTGGCATGTGGAGAGTTGAAATGGAGTAAGTGATCAATGAGGATTCATATAGCCAACCCCAACTTATTGGAACTGAGGCGTTGTTGTTGTTATTATTGTTGTTTTGGGAGGTGAGGTAGTGTAAAAAGGTGTTTAATTGACGATTAGCATGTAAGAATTAGATTGTATGGCTGTAATATCTAAAGAAAACACATGAAAAAGGAGAGATCTTTGGGGAATTATTGATTTGGCGTAAGGTTTCATTGGCTTCTGAAGCTGAAATATTTGTTTCCCTTTTGGGATTGGGAATGAGGTTGGTTTCTGTGAGGAGAAACTGTAACATATAAGGGGTAAAGAAACAAAACATACAACCATTGGCATCTGCTAATTATCAACAACCAACATGAAAAACAGCAGAGTTTCTCTGGCTTTGCTCAATTGTTCTGCTTTTTCTGCCTGCCTTCATTACGCGCTTATAATGAAGGCCTATATCCTAGGAGTAAGCTGTTAAACGGTTAATGAATGTTAATTACATCTGGAAAACGGCGTTACTAATTTGGGAAAATGGTGTCAATCAGATGATGTGAGGTTGTATCAGTTAGTGTGTTCCGATTAAGCATGGTTTCCTTATATCAGTCATATTTTTAGCGGTTAAAATTTCGCCAACCAGTGTGAATTCCTGTTTTTGATTTGAGAATTCATGAGACACAAAGAAAGGTGAGGGGCAGTCTGGCAGGGGGTTGGTGGTGGTGATTGGAGATTTATGATGTTTGATATGCTGGTTGTGTGCTGAAACTTATTGAATAAGCTTTCAGTAAGCAAGATTATTAGAATTGTGGAGAACAAACTCTCCTTAGTTTGGGCATTCTTTAACCACCTTATTGCGGACATTGTCTCATAGTACCCATAATTTGTTCGATTCTCAGTCCATTAGTTGGTGGTATAAAGATGCCTAGTTTTGCAGGGACATGTCATGTTTGAATTACTTACAACAACAACAACATACCCAGAATTAACCCACACCGTGCGGTCTGGGGAGGGTAGTGTGTACGCGGACCTTACCCCTACCTTGTGACGATAGAGAAGATGTTTCCAATAGACCTTCAGCTTGGGAAAGCATAAGCACCACATTAAAGATGCTTAGTTTTGCAGGGACATGTCATGTTTGAATTACTTATTTTTCTGAATATGCATAACAGCATGCAGTTACTTCTTTTCTAATTTTATGAGTGAGGGAGAAGTAGAAAATCTTGAAAGATTTCAACTTTGCTTTCTTTGATTAGAAATTTATTGCTTAATCTTGTTACCTGATAAAGTAAAAAATGTGTGAGTTTTAAATGCATACTTGGTGGTTTCTGAATATGGATTTGAGAGACATTTCTTAATAAATGTCCATTTCTAGCCAGCCCTCTTAAAAGCTTTATCACTATGGAAATCTCCAATTTTATTTTCTTCTTTTTTGTTTCAGGTAGTGGATGAAATTAGAAAGGCAGTTCCCCTAGCACTTCTACCCGATGATGACCCCACGATAGATGAACTAAAGATTCTGCAGGAGAAGATGAATAAAATTGATGAGCTTGCACATAAACAGGTGCGTCGCATTTTATGGACTGGGTTAGGAGCTGGCCTTTTGCAAGTCGGTCTCTTCTTCCGTCTAACGTTCTGGGAATTCTCTTGGGATGTGATGGAACCAATTGCTTTTTTCACAACTACTACTGGGATAGTAGTAGGTTATGCTTATTTCCTTGTTACTTCTAGAGACCCGTCATACCAAGATGTGTTGAAGAGGCTCTTCCTCTCAAGGCAGAGGAAGCTGATCAAGAAGTATAATTTTGATATTCAGAGGTTTGTGGAATTACAAAAGAAAATCAGAGTACCAGTAAGTAGTCAAGCTTCCATGAAACATCGGTTAGGGGTGGAGCTGGAAGCTGAGGATCTTTTACGCGGTCACTAAATCACATTGGTCTGATCATCCTCTCTTTGACCCTCACCTTCTCACATAATTATAACTTCACTAAACTTTTACCTTTCAACCAATGTAAGCCCTTCATTTTCTTAGCGGAGGGTGAATATCTCAGCTGTTGACAATTGTCCCTGATTTTACGTTGTAATTTGAAGGTTGTATTACTGAACTCTTCTCTTACAACATAGGCTTAGAAAGTAGTTCTAACCATTGCAATTCCTTCAAAGCTCCTACTCTGAAGTTGTTAGCCTCTCATATATTTTTGAAGTTGTAACTAGATACTGATGCTATATCAATGATTTTGAATTTTTGGTATTTCGAAAATAACCCCTGTCATTTATATAAAAAGTAGGCCAAAGACGATTTTACAAGTTCTTTTTGACTAGAATGCCAGGGCTTTACAAGCCCTTATTACAGGGCTTTCGCCATAGTTTAATTTTGTGGGAAATTGTTATCATACAGGTGTTAATTGAACTGTGTGCAGTATTGATGCTTGATATTGATGCTATATCAATGATCTTGAATGTATTGTTCTCTCCACGATAACATCAGTTAGTGATACTGACTACAATCCTGCTGGAAGGTTTTATTTGACTTGAGTGTCTAGGTCTTTTACAAGCACTTTGCGGAGACCTTTCTTTCATAGTTTCATTTTGTTGGAAATTGTCATCAGACAGTTAATTGATTTCAGTTTCGTGCAGTACAGATAGTGTATAATTTCATTAATCAGCTGCAGTTCGTGGGTTATTGACCTGCTCTACTGACCGGCTTTATAAAGTTTGTTCTGAAAAGCTTAGATTTTATGCACTGATTGTGTATATATACTTTCACTATCAGGGAAAATTGACCTACTACGATATATAACTCTTCATATTAAGCGAGGTATTATCACCTGGAAAATAGAGTGAGAACTTGCTATGATCTGTTGATTCTCCTATTAAATTGCACTGATAGTGTAAACAACTTTTTTGTGTTCAGTGTATGCTACTTAAAATCTTTTTTCATTCAGAGGTTCGAAGCATGAAGAAACTAGTATATCTGCAGCTTTGGTACATTGCCTTTACTAAATCCCAAGGTGTTGAATTGAAGGCAAATATTGACAGTCTTTTGTTGTCCATACAAGAAAACTATATGTCCAAGTAAGGCAGTGGAAGAACTTCAGTTCCTTGGAGACAGTAGTGATCTGCAGCTTCTGGAAGTAGAAGCAAGGCGTCCGAGGCATTAGCATATGCATTTTGCTCACTCGGCTTCTGGAAATGGAGAAACTCATGGTTCTCGGGGGTGAATGGAGAACCTTCAATCAGAGAGGGTAAGGATAAAGCATCGGATAACTGGGTTCTGAGAAACATTGCTTCAGCTAAAGCTTCGTTTAACTCGGATTGTAAGTGAAAGACATGTTTCTGGACGGCAGAAATGATGCCCACACAGCCATAAACTGGATCTCTGAGTCTTGCTGTAGCTTCATAAACCATGCTAATCACTGCATCTTCTCTATTATCCACTGGTATCTCCTGCTACAAATACGACAGATAATTTGAGACGGAGGGAGTATAAAGTTCAGAAGTCTTGTTCTTTTACACTTGAGCACTCTTGGCGTTGCATTATGATGTAAAGTTAAACATTATGGTACAAATCCAAACAGACAAAAATGCTCGGTGATTTCTTCTCATTTTTGGCTAACCTTTGCTTGGCAGAGTTATCAGGTAGTAGATAGCCATTAATTAAGAAAAAAGAAGTTAAAACTTTTGAACTACTTACTTGTAAAATTTTGCTGATATTGCTAGCACCAAAAATGCGATGAACAGCAATAAATTTTTGTGGTTCAGCAGTAGGAAAGTGAGGCAAGAAAATGCAATCCTGAGTGCAGCGTCTACGAAGAAACTTACATGCTGAACATGGCATATGTTTGTTCTTCTTGTTTGTTGAACCCATGAAAAACATCAATTTAAAGCAGTCTTTGGTATTTATTTTTGGTTGAAATTAAAGCAAATGAACTTAATTAACTGAGTATTTAAAGGCACAAAGTAAAACATGGGGTCTAGCAAATTACAAAAGGGGTCCAAGAAAATTAGCTGGAGAAAAGAAAAATCTTTAGACATCTTAATCGTAAGATATTGGAGGTTGTAATAACACTATTATTATCTCCCCTTGTCATTTTCATTGGGGAAAGTTCATTCAACAAAATGGAAACTACATCAATTGCTTTTAATCCCACTTCGTCACTAATATATCTTGAGTGTAACTTAGTGGGCATTTGGACATAAGAATTATGAAATTTCGAAAAACAAGTGTAAATGGTATTTGAAAATTAGAGCTGTGTTTGGACATGAATACAATTTGGAGATGTTTTTGAATTTTTGTGAGTGATTTGAAGAGAAAATTTTAAAAAATCATTTTTTTGGAGTTTTTCAAATTTCCGAAAAATTCTGAAATTCAACTTCAAGTGAAATTTGAAATTTTTATGGCCAAACACTGATTCTGAATAAAGTGAATTTTTGTTTTTGATAAAAAGTAAAAACAATTATGGCCAAACGGGCCCTTATATAAATGGATAGCGGAAAAAAAAAAATATAACTATCACCATTCAGGTCACATTTACTTGTATGACCTGATAGTGTGATCTTTTATACATTTAGTGTATATAAATTAACTCATACATTTTTCTACTTATTGTGTAGATAATTCGATGATTAAGAGCATAGTGATATTATAAAGTAGGACAAAAAAGCTTCACAACTGAGGGTCCATAATAATTAGGTGATGATATGATGATTAGTGGAGGTGACATTGACAATATATCCGAAAGACGTTTGAGACAATATATTTGACAAAACAAGATATGGCACTACTTCAGCTTACCGAGAATATAATCTTCAATAAAACTGTGTGAAAGTCCAGAATTAGTGAGTTAATACGTAGCCGAGAGTCTCTTCTAGTCGTACTAGTAGTATTAGTACTAGTCTTGTATTCTCCTATTCCTAGTTCCTTGTTGTTACACGATGTGTTATTATTATCGGTAGTTTTCGCACTTCTCTTATAGCTTCGCATTCCTAGATCTTTGTTATTACATGTTGTGCCATTTGCTTCCGTTGTCTTATTTCCTTGCCATTGTTATTGTTTGTTTATTGTGTCCTTTTTACTGTTCTTGAGCCAAGGGTCTATCGGAAACAACCTCTTTTCCTTCATAAGTTAAGAATAAGGTCTGCGTACACATTACCCTCTCCAAATTCCACGTATGAGATTTCACTGGGTTTGTTGTTGTTATTTGACAAAACAAGATTAATCGGGGGACGACCCCATTTCATCAGGGAATATATCGATCTTTCTTCCACTTTAATTTGAGTAATTAACTCTAGCTTTTTCGTAGAGAAATAGATTACATATATAGCACAAAAAGTTTCTATATATACACAATGGCAAACAATATGGACGTATTATCACAATTCGGCTTATACATAAGTTTGTATTTAGGGCAATGAGATTCTAAGACTTTATTTCTTTCTCAAATTGATGTTTACTTCGTATTACTTTTTAAGTAGAGTCAGATATGGAATCACTTGTATTATTTTGTATACTGGAGTATTATTTTTTCAAACTAATACTAGTAGATATTATTACTATATTATAAAGGCTGTGATAGAGCTAATCCACCGACAGTTTTATGCAGTATCCTTTGTTAAAATTGGCAAGCAACACCTTACCACCTTAAAAAGTTCGATATAATAAAGAGAAGACAATTTCTTCTAGTAAAATTAAATTGTTTTTAGAAAAGGAGTATGATATTCTTTTTGAGACAAACTAAAAAGAAAATTACAAGGCATTAATTGGAATAGAGGGAGTATATATATACATAAAAAAGAAATTTTTACCTAACTACATATTGTAATTTTTTCGTGAAGGATTATTCTATATGTGGCTTCGCCGCTACTACTCGTATAACCTTTTCTGGAGAACAATTAGAGAGAAAAATTTACACGCGAGAGAACGTATTGAAAATACAATGAAATAATTAAAAGTGTGTTCTCTCTAATCATATATACTTTAATAAGAGTTGATGAAGAAGTTGTAAATGCAAATTGAAGAGAATTTTGCCAGTCCAAATTAAGCAACTGAGAAAGCACAAAAAAAGTGTGAACTAGCTATTAATAAAGTAAATAAAAACCATGAACGATTATTTATAGTACGTTGAAATTGAAATAGAAAACAAAAAATATTAGGATGATTTTTTTCTATCCACATAAGTCATGATAGAGAGTTATGTACTAATAGAAAGGCATAGATACACGGAGAAATAGCTTGAGTGCATACAAATTTACGTTATTTTTTTCTTTAAAAAAATAAAATAAAAAAAAGAACCAAATAGACCGTAATCAAGTCAAAAAATAACAGAAGCAAAAGTAATAGGGGCGGAGGGAAAACATAGAGCAAAATTGAGGTACCAAAAATCACTTATCCATTCAGATAAACCCACAACTCATCCCGAAAACATAACCAGTGACCAAGAAAGCAAACCTCGGATATGGCTTCAGCTTCTACGACTTGGAGCATGTCTTGTCTGAAATCTGCACTTCCTTCAATTCAACCAATTTCGAGCTCTTCACTTCGATTCTCTTGTGGGCCATCCCCTTCTCGTCTCAGGATCTGCAAGCCCAAGTCCAGTTCCAGACTTCTACACTCCTTCGTCGGTCTTGCTCCCCTCCATCCACTCTTGTCCCTTTCTTCCCAGGGTAATTTTTTTTTATATACTATTGTGGAAAGAGATGTATTCATTATTTTGAATAATTCTTTTTCTTTTAAGAAAAAAAAAATCAACTGTGTATATATAGAGTTCAAGTCGAAGGCATTGGATTACTCATGCTGCTAGGGTGGAGCTACATGTATTGAAACTTTTTAATTCATAAATTGTTGAGCCCACCCCAATGTGTTTGTGACTGAGACTTAATTAGATGTCACTCCTATGCATAAAGCATCCCGCGTAGGGTCTGGGAAAGGGCCGCACCAAGGGAGTGTGACTGAGACTTAGTTATTGTTGTAGATGTAAATTGTTGAATTCATTTAACATAAGGAAGCTTCTAGTGTACGGACAAATCTGGCTGGAAATTTGCTTTATGTTGCAAGTTCTAATCTAAGATGCTGCATTCTTGCAATATTTGAATTGTATTAGAATTCTGGCTCCGCCATTGCCTGGTTATGTGTACAATTTTTTTTTGGTCTTATGTTAGTGTTTCTGAGTGGGTATTGGCATCCAATTGAAATTGCTGCATAGTGTATTAGTTTGTTTCCCATTGCATGTGAAGGCACAAAAGTTGACTCTTTTTCGTTTAAGGGAACCCAATTTATCTTATTTTGTGGAGTTGGAAGTAACGGCATAGCCATGTTTAATTGTTTACCCTTTGCTGAAAAACTATACTGTGCATATAGGTGAAAAATCTCAGACCCCGCGCATAGCGGGAGTTTAGTGCATCAGGTTGCCCTTTATTGAATCCACTAGACGCAAGAGATCATTTTTCTTTTGAATTACTTGATTAAAATTCCTGCCTCCGCCATTGGTTCGAAGGCACTCCCTTGATGCATTCGATCTATGGAACAGTACCAATTTGCGTAAAGGAGGCTTTCTTATCTTCGAAAATTACTTATTTTCTTAATTCTATTCTTGCCTTTGTAGAAGTTTATTTTACTTGGAGCTAGATATTGATTCTTCTTGTAAACCTGCATCTTCTTGATGCCTTTTCTAATGCAATTTACTTACCTTATCAAAAAAAAAAATTATTTTCCTATTTGCAGCTTTTGCATGTTTGAGTTGTATTGCTCTACCATTCTTACACCTTTAATATATCTATATTGCAGATTCAACAAGTTTTGAGCACTCATTCACCGTAATTGATAATGGCGGCCGAGTTTTTGCCATGAGACATGGTAGGAAGGTGCCCAAACTGAATAGACCTCCTGACCAGCGTCGGGCACTTTTGAGAGGTCTCACGACTCAACTCCTCAAGCATGGGCGTATAAAGACCACTAAAGCGAGGGCCAGGGCAGTTAGAAAATATGTTGACAAAATGATTACAATGGCAAAGGATGGTTCTCTTCATAAGAGAAGGCAAGCCCTTGGATTCATCTACGAGAAGCAGATAGTGCACGCATTGTTTGCTGAAGTCCCAGACAGATATGGGGAGAGGAACGGAGGATACACTAGGATAATAAGAACTCTACCGAGGCGAGGGGACAATGCACCAATGGCATACATCGAGCTTGTCTAGCAACTGAATATTCTTTTTCAAGGTTCTTTTTCGTTGCTTCTAAATTTTCTGATGTGAATTAAGAGATTTTTGTTAGTTTCCACCAAATTATTCCATCCCAATTTCCTGTATGCCATTCCATTTTAACTTGCAGGTCTACTGTGTTTATTTGGCTGATCACCTTTGATCTGTTTTATGCATTTAGTTGTCGATTACCCCATATTATATCAAATATTGTTGTTCTCATGGAAATTGCCGGTAGTCGTATTTGTTAGTGTAACAATTTTTTTACTCTATCTATGTATAGAAGTGAAACTCAACCAATAAACGTGTAAAAGAAAGGAATAGAACGGGTGGATAAATTAGCCAATATTGCAAGATGAAACTCAGTTTTGTAACATTTAGGACTGCTTACAACAACAATAACCCAGTAAAATCCCACAAGTGGGTTTGGGGAGGGTAGTGTGTACGCAAACCCTACCCCTACTCCGGAGGAGTAGAGGGGTTGTTTCCGATAGATCCTCGGCTCAAGAAGACGAAAAGAGACAATAGATCAGTAACAACAACAGAGACTAGAAAGATAATATTAGCATTGTAAGAACTAGAAAATAGATGGAAAAAGCAATAACAACTACCAGTGACAATGGCACGGTACTATGAAAATGGAAAAATAGTATGAACACAACATGAAGCACTAGCAGTCTAAGACAAAATACTATCAGACTAGCCTCACGCCCAGTACAAAGTAAAAAAACGCTCAACTACCTCCTAACTTTCAACCCTAATGTTCGACCTCCACACCTTCCTATCAAGGGTCATGTCCTCGGAAAGCTGAAGTCGCGCCATGTCCTGTCTCATGACCTCTCCCCAATACAAAAATAAGTTGAAGGCTGCATTGTATTCTTGAAGTGAAGCAATATCTGTCTGAGAGAAGAGTTTCATCAGTCCTGTTTAATGTCTTTAAGGAAAGGAATTGGTAGTTTCTTAAGAACTTTCTCATCCAATTGACTGTATTGTCTTCTGAGCTCTTTAATGGCCATTTCTCCATAGGCATCTACTTGATCATCATACTTCTCATAGAAAAATGGTACAGTCAACAGCATGACAATTACTGTCCAAAAAATGAACAATTGGTTATATTGGTAAATGACTATTGACAAACAATGTAAAACTGCAGTGTTTTAACTGCCTACTGTAATATAACAGTTGAATCTGTCATCTATATAACGTTAATTATAGATTGGAACACAGAGCGGTAAAAATGCTTTCAGCTACTGGATTTATAGCCTGTCTGGCCAAGCTTCTAAAATCAGCATATTTTGAGAAATGCTTTTATTTTAAAAAAAAAAAGTACTACTATTTTTCTCAAAATTAATTTTGGTGAGAAGCAATTTGTGTTTGACTAATTAATTTGAAAAGCACTTCTAAGAAGCAATTAGTGTTTGGCCAAGTTTTTAAAAATTGCGTCTAAGTGTATTTTTCTCAAAAGTGCTTTTCAGAGAAGTACTTGTTCCGCTTCTACTCAAAAGTACTTTTTTTTCCTTCTAAAATCATGGTCAAACACTTCAACTTTGAAAAAAAAAATATTTTTTAAATTAAAAAAAAAAAACATTGGCCTTGAAGAAACTTGGACAAACCGGCTATTAACCTATACCCAATAACATTGTATTTTAACCTGTTATCACAAGTTACATGCCTTATTTTCCAGTTTATTAATCTCATTTATTATGGGATGGCTACATGCAGTGGCGAAGTCAGGAATTTCATCTAGGGTGTTCAAACTTGAAAGAAGTAAAAGAAAATCTTCGATGAGGGTATTCAATATATTTTATATACCACTAAAATCTAATATTTTACCTATATATACTGTGTAATTTTTCGATGAAGGGTGGTCTGGGGCTACGTAGCTTCGCCCCTGGCTACATGTACTTATTTTTTAGGTGACCTGAATTTTACACTGTAGTGTTAAGTAAAAACTACACATGGGCATGCCCATATTGGGAGATAAGAAAAACAGGTAATACAAGGACCAAACCACTGCATTTCCACATAGCAGTGAGGAAATTTCATAAGTTAGGCTTCTGCAGCCAACAGAAACAAAATGAAGCGTATAGATAACTTACTGATGTATACAAGGGTCAGAAGATTGAACCACCTTCCAACAATGGAAACAATCCACAAGCCAAAAATTGCCTGCAGATGGACACATAATCATATGAACTTGTCACAATAGAAAATTTTCAAGAGTAAGGTAAAATTAACAAAGTTCAGGGTGTGGGAAATTGGTACATAAAGAAACTTCTTCAAATCATTTCCAGATGCTACTTCCCGAAAAATACCAAATGCACAGGTGAATTGATCCCTCAGCAGGAGAGCCACTTGCGTCCACAGTTCTTCTGGCAATTCAATCTTTGGAAACTCTATTAAACTCCTGCCATGAAATTTAGTTTTGTAGTAACAATTAACCAGAAGACTCTTAAGTTATACTCATCGGCGATATAAATAATTTTTTACACTATTAGGTCACTCCAAGAATATTTACATGTAAACCTCCTTAAAATGTAGGGCTCGACTAACGCTGCTCTAGCACAAGCGTAAGCAGCTGTAGGTGCCACTGCACGTGCTCTAGGCTGGGATCTAGCCTTGCCCTGGCCCCTACCATTGGTAACGGCTACAACCTAGGGCTGCGGCTCCTGCTCAATTATGGCTGAATATTAGGGCCGCCGGCCAAACTGCTTCGCTGAAGACAATGACGGCGGCGACAGTTGTCACGAACCAAAATTACACGTAGTCGTGATGGCTCATGCCATAGTGACCCAAGTGTAAAAAAATCTTTTTTTGACGATGTATATAACTTAAACTCATTAATTGGGAGGCAATTGAAAAACTGAAAGTAGCAGCATAAAGCAAAGTGAGAACTGTAATTAGGCAAAGGGAAGTGAACTAACTTGTTGACAAAGAGGGAGAGATTGGACCAAAAGAACAAGATGGCCAAGGAAACTATGAGTGAATGGCAAATAAAAGTGAGCAAATGATAACCAATCCACTCGAACAGAAACCATATGATAGTTGCACCAGCAAATAATCCTCCTGATATCTGCTTGTTCCTCCACAGTAAAATATCAGCCACTGATCCATTCATTTCAGCATCAGTAACAGTTAATCAGTTACTTAAGGGAACTCAAGAATGACCAAAAAAGTAGAGTCTTTAACCCAAATGGTCCCTTAAGTTTGGGGGCAAGTGTTATTTCGTCCTTACTATAGTACTCGTAACATGCATGATCCTTTAAGTTTGCAAAAGTTGAGCACTTCTAGTTCAGCAGGCGAAACTTAAAGGATCATATATATGCTCGAGAATCGAGATAATATAATAAGGGAAAAAATAGACCCACCCTCAAACTTTAAAAGACCATTGAAATTGAAAACTCAATAATGGACATGACTCACAAGAATTAATTAGAAGTTGAGGAAACGTACGTTTGCCACCACCTAGAGCAGCGTGAAGAGATTTATGACGGCCAAAGAGGTGAAACTTCTTGTGTACAGGGCGTCTAAAGTCATTTTCATCTGTTGATGATGACGAAGAAGAATCATTGCGACCAAGGTTGGCCTTTTGCTTTTTCTCCACCGAAGATTCTGAAACCATTTCCTCCACGAAACAACGACAAAAAAAAAAAGTTCAATGGACATGCATGCAAAGATGCATGCGGTTATCCAGGTAAAGCGAATTCAAGATTTATAGTGACTTTAGAATAAGTGTGATCTAATTATCTATACTATCTTTTTTTTTGTACATAGTTCTAACTAATTAAAAGCAATAGTATTCAGTTGAACCCACATAAACTATCATAGATTCGAAACTCCAAGTATAGAAAAAAATAAAAATGATCTTACTGTGTATGAGGTCGAAGTGACAACAATTGGGTCCCTGTATCTTGATCAATTTGCTTCTTTTTTGATACTATGTATTTTTGTTCGTTCTACTTTACTATAGCAGTTTTGGATCTGCCGTTTGTTTTTGTGTTGTGTTGAAAAGTGAAGATTGCAGTTAGGGTTTCTCCTTAATTCGTTTGTTGTTTTTTCTCTATCTACCATACCACAGTGTAATACGTTAGCAATTCAACTCTTGTTTTTAGACTGTTACTGAATCATTCAAAGAGTCTAACTAACTGAGAGCCAAAGGGTGCTTCAAAAGCGCACAATAACCATATGTAATCCATCTTTTCCGCAAAACTCTGAACTCCCTCTCTTTCCTAGTGCTTTAATACTTATTTGAGGCCCAAAAAAAATTATTGAAGTTTACAATTTTGTTTGGTAGAAACTTACCCCATCATGCCCTAGGGGTGCGGCTATTCGCGAACCCTGCGTGAATACGAGATGCACCGGGCTTCACTTGAAAAACATACCCTATCCGGTGAACAATCTCTTATGTATACTTATGTATTATAGCTCAAATGTCTAAATTGGTGATTATAATTGATCATTTGATGTTTACAACAATCTCTNATATATATATGTTTTACCAAATATGCTCTATTATACAAATTAAATTTAATTCCCGTGTTCTAGGAATCAACAACCCTCTGGCATTTAAAATTGATCTTGGTATAAAGTGATAAAATTGATTCATATACTTAGACTATTAAGCGAGAGAAAACCTGACTCGGATACCATTGTCATTAAATTAAATATATTAAGAGAGAAAAGCAAGTTATACAATTTTACATTCAACTCCATACATGTATTTGCTAGCATTACAATAGACAGCCATGACCGTGGTTCTTTAGTATATACTGTGATAAAATTGATGCGACTTGCATTTATTTACTGAAACCATGTAAAAATATGTAGAATGACATAAGAATAAAAATCAATATTCTTTTCTTTTATTATTTTATTTTGCACCAAAACTTATACATAGCTATATTGTTGCATAAATACGCACAATAAAAAAAACTAATGGAAAATTAGTATCCGAGCTCCACTTTTTCTTAAAAAAAGTAATTGCATCGAGGGAGAGGATGGAGAAAGGGGGAGAGAATGTGAGGTTTGAACCCTCCACCTCAACTGTGAAAGACAGAAAGTTCACCAAGTGAGCTAACACTCAATCAAATCCGAGCTCCATTTGATCACAGCTTCTTCACTGATAGATACACACCATTTCCAGGCTCAATAACCAAATTCAGAGCAGGAGAATGAATATATTTTGGGGAAATAGAGAAAGAAAATTTGGTCAAAATTAAAGAAATGAGTATTTTAAGTTCCATCATAGCCAAATTTTGTCCCAAACACACCCTTGGTCCAACACCAAAAGGCATATAAACATGTGGAAATTTACATGCACCTTTAATTCCATTTGCAAATCTTTCTGGATTAAATTTGTAAGAATCTCTTCCCCATATTTTTGGATCAGTGTGTAATTTTGTCACTATTGTCCAAATATTGACCCCCTTAGGCACATTAATACCTCCAAATTTAATTTCCTTTAAGGCTTCCCTTGATACCACTGCTACTGGTGGATAAAGACGCAATGATTCGTTAATAGCCATTGTTAACTGCAAAATCAGGTTTAAAACTAACATGTGTTAATCAATATAATATTGCAATTTATTTAATTTTAACATTAATTAGAAAGTTAAAAATTAAAGGTTTTGGAGTAATAATGATGGGTTAATTTTACAGTAGAAGTGACACCATGTAGTCACTCTAAAGGGTTATCATTTAGGAATTAGCCAATGTATCTTGAATTTCAATTTTTCAGTTTAATTTTTCAGGACACAAAGTCTTGAATTGTCGTGAAATTAATTTTTTTAGTTTAAAGCTTTATGACAAAATAAATAGTGGCTAATCTTCCCTAATTTTACGGGTACATCTATAGCCGTGAACTAAAATTCTATTGCAGCAATGTCATAAAACTAAATATATTAACCACAAAAAGAACAACAATTTTTCCTATATTTTGCATAAAATGAAATCGCCAAAAATTCATCAACTTTGGAGCCGAAAATGCCATTTATACAATAAGTTTTGTTACCGGATTGATAAATTTCTAGCTATTTAATTTTATGCGTAATATAGTTACAACTGATGTATTTTTAAAATTGTGAAATATAGTTTTGAATTTATTTTGCAAAAAACTTTTAATTCAATGATCATTTATGAAACTAACCCTTATAAGTACCTAGGGACGGATCTACCACGTATCTTATGGGTTCATGTGAATTCATTCATTCTTTCCAGCCTAAATTCATAAATTAAATATTTTACTGTGAATTCAGTTATTATTGTATATTAACTTGAGATTAAGAAATTAATAAACTTCAAATCCTCAATCTGTCACTGTAAATACCTGTTTCATCTTTCGAATCATGTCAGCATCAGGAATTCGGCCCATACAAATTTGTAGGACCTCAGCACGAATACGTTGTTGCCAATTTGGATTTGCAGCCAAAAGCATGAGACACCATGTAGCTGCAACAGCAGTGGTTTCATAACCAGCCAAGTATATGTTTTTGCAATTATCAACTATGAAATGATCAATGAATGCATCATTGCTAATTTGTTCACTGTTTCTGGCTCCTTCAATAACCATTTGTAGTAAATCTTTTTCAGATCCAGCTTCCCTTCTTTCCTTCACTATTTTCAAGATTAATTCTTTGATTTCTTTCTCTAAGGTCCATGTCTCCCTGTTGTTCTTGGTAGGAAGATACCTGTTCCATCCAAGAAATGAGCATGAGTAAATGTTATATAGTCACGGAAATTTTTTAGGCGATCGGGCCGACGGCGGAAGGCGAGGGCTATAGCTCACGAAAATATGGGAATCGGGCGGAATTCTAGTTTTATGGCCATAAAATGCCAAAAAATGAGGAACGGCCATGGCTGTATGGGTTTGATCCCTGTGAGGCTAGATTATTAGGCATTGATTTTGTCTGTGATGCTTTAGAGAAGGTTAAAGTTATTCAGGAACAACTTCGTTCAGCTCAGTCCAAGTAAGTGGTGGCAAAATTTATCTATTTTTTAGTTACCCGTTGAATTTGTCCAAGTTTAAACGGGTTGGATTATGACCGGTTTGTTGGCTTGACTCAACAGGTTGACCGGAAATGAGCCATCAAACTATTAGGTCAAAATAGATCAAATAGTGTAACACGTGAGTTAAATTGAAACTCAAATCCAAACATACAAAATAAAATTTAGAGAATATTGAAAAGTATGTAAATTTAAGAGAATTTAAATTCATAATTTAGGCAAAACACATTTTGAGTTCGTGTTGGGTGGTTGGGTTATGACAATTATAAATTTGAACAATATAATTTTGATCTGACGTAGCCAGCCAGTTTGCCACCTTTAATGTTTTAAAAACTACTCACCAACTGTTAGAGCCAGAATTTTCATCAGGAGAATTCAATATATAAAGAAATAAAAAATCGAATAAGCCAAGAAGATTCAACCTCTACTATATATACGTAAAAAATATTTTTTAACCTTGTATATATTGTAAATTTTTCGGCGAAGGGGGTTTTGAACTCCCTCCCGCCACCCTAGTTCCGCCCCTACTCACCAATCAAATTTTTAGCATATCATTACCGAACGAAAAATTAGACATGGTTAGTGAGAATTCTTATAGCTAACCTCAACTTGCGTGAACTTGACGCATGGTTATATTATATATGTATCAATATTGGTGAAAAATGTACCTTATGCCTGGAATTCCAGTAGTCAGGACCCTTTTGGAAGCAGCTTCCTGGAGAGCTCTGAGCTTAAAGAAAATCTCTTTTCCTTTTGAAAAATTGCTTCCAAAACATGCTTTAGAAATTACATCTCCAGAAAAACTTCTCATGTCCGGATCAATTTTGATGTCACCAATCCCACCTTGAGCTTCAATTTGATTATTCCATGTACTTAACAATGTTAATGCAGAATCTTGTATTAAATTTATCATTCCCTGCACAACTCAAAAAGGCATAAATATCAATAACTTTGTCGATAAATATAGAGTTGAATCGCCTGCTACAACGTGTTAAAATTGTCATTACACTATGGAATATGGATTATGGGTGGCAAACGGGAGGGCAGGTCGAGGCGGGTTAAAATGGATAATGCAAAAAATGGATAAATTATCTGATCCGACTCATATTTAATTCGAATAGAAAATGTATTAACCGGCGGAGGGAAACCATGTTATTCATAGCTTTTTGAATATGATCACTTTTGGGAGAATTATTAATCTTGAGGAACCCTAATTTGAGGCTTTATAAATGTAAAAGTTAAACCCATTAGTTATTCATTGGTGATACATTCTCCAAGTGGATAATATGGTTCTTATTTATATTTGACCAGTTTTTAAAAAATTTATTATCCAATCAATTTTTAGTGGATAATATGGATAGATAACTGTTTCTTTTTATCCATATTGCCACCACTACAATGGATCCATATAATTTAAATACTTTTTACCTTAACTTTTTCCAAATATAACTCGGGAGCAAGAATCTTTCTTTGATGTGCCCAAAAAGGTCCATTTGAAGTTAGGATTCCATTGCCTAGCAAAGGACCCCTCTCTTTAGCTTGATAGGTTGGCTTACCCAAGTCAAGGGATGTGCAAGTAGTAATCTCTCTTACCATTTCTGGTTGTGTCACATGCATTATTAGTGTGTTGCCAAGAGAAAACATGAATACATCACCTGCTCAATGCTCATCCAAAAAAAAAAATAAAAAAATCAAGATTATAAAACAATAATTCCTGATATAGCAGAGAATCAAGAAAGTTGTGTTTTCATGAACACCACATTGAATGACATGATTAAATAAATATAAGTGTGTTTTCTCTCGATTTAAACTTCCGAGTGAGACAATGATACAATGACAAAGCCAAGAATTTCCCCAAAGGTGTTCAAACTTGAAAGAAGTAAAAAAATTTCCTGACAAACGGTGTTTCATATAAGTTATATACCTCTAAAACTTAATATTTTATCTATATATACAGTGTAATATTTTGATGAAGGATGGTCAATTGACCACCCTTTAAGACATGTAGTTTTGTCCCTAAAGGGAGATGCTCACATGATTCAGTATGACACATAGTAGACATGGTATCTTGGTTTTAGTTTTCTAAATCTATTGTCTTGCTATTGCTTGCTATCAGTGCTTCTTCCGTCTTTTATTTAGCCGAGAATCTAGCGGAAATAGTCTCTCTGCCCTTCCAGGTTAGGGGTTATAAGGCTGCTTACATCCTACCCTCCCCAGGCCTCACTTGTAGGATACACTGAGTTGTTATTGTTATTGTTGTTGTTGTACATCCATTATCAAAAAGAAATTTTATCGTGTGATAGGCATGTCGAAGACATAATTAACTAAATAAAAGTATTTTTTGTTTAATAATTTAAACTTTCACATGAAATCACGCTAATTCTATATGGCACTAGTGCGTAAATGGGTTTTAGTTTCAAGTCTCATCGCCACATTATCAAAATGAACCGGCTCGTTTATGAGGAGCATGTTGAAGATATAATTAAGTAAACAGAAATATACTCTCTCATTTCCACCAGCTTAAAAATTTAGAGGAGACGATTACATAATTTAACATACCGTATTGTTTCTGCCATTGATCAAAGAAAGGCAGAAGAGCTGCTCCACAGTTATGGGAGTCTAAATCTCCATTGAAAGCAGCAGCCTTACGTGATTTTTTGATATCCAATATGTTTCCAAGAAGAAAAGTTGGCTGAGGTCCAAATATCCCCTGATTTCTGAGGCCTGATTGGAGTCTTCTTGGCTTTGTTAAAAGTGAATTGTAAAAATGAAAAAGCAACCCAAATAAACACACTAATGCAACTAATAACAACATTTTTGGATTTATATTGGCTCAATCACTTCTCTTCTTTCTTTTGTTGTTGTTGTTATTCTGTTTTAGTTGTGTTTTGGAGGAGTGTGCTGGTTGTTTGCCTTGTATTTAGGCAGGAAGCTTTTTATATGGAAATATTGGAATGGAAAAATATGCTAGAAGTCAAATCCCATAGACTAGGAAAAAATTAATTGGTTTGTGCTTCAACTACCATAACTGAGTCAAAATAGAAGAAAAAAAATATGGATAAGTGGATGCTTGAAGAATCAACCATGGGCCCTCTACCCTTAAAGAGGTATCGATCCGCGACTTCAGAGTCATGAGAATGAAAAAACTCTTGGTAAGGAATATTTCCCGAAACTTTTGATAGGAAGTGATTCACCCTTTAATAGGCTATAAGTGGCGTAAATATGAATTAATTGGTTGAGTGTGATGGAATAGATGCTGATTTTTCTACCCTTAACTAGAGGTCTTGTTTTCGACTGCAAAAACCTCTAGTACTGAGCACTTCCCTTTAGTGGGTCATACGTGCTCAATATCTGAATTGGTCGGGCGAATAAATACCCAAATACCATATTGGTTATTTTTTAAAATTGGAAAGAATCAATCGTAAGACACAATTCTATTTTTTTCTTTTCTTTTCTTGTTGTTATTTTTAACTTAGAATTTGAAAAACAGATCCAAATTTGAGAAAGAAAAAAGAAGAAACTTCTTGGAGACATAGTGATAAGATAGTGTGTGCTTTGAAAAAGAAAAAAAGGTTAGTGTATAAGATGACCTGGAAAGGTGAAAGAGAAGAAACCATTTGGGATCAACACATGATATTCTAAATCTTTAAATGAAAAATTTCTATACATTTTCTTCTACTTGATTACTTGTTATATTCTAAATCACTAAGAAAAACTAAAAATATGATTATGATTATCACTTATGCACCTTGGAAAACTTGTCATAATGGGAATCAATGGTATACAACCTGTCTAGACCTCATTGTCTTAGAATTCCGGCATAGTCATTACATAAAATGACTTTGTCTTAAATATTTAGGTGAATTAATAGAAAGAAAAAAATTGGACAATCCCCACTTAGCCTCTGTTTTTAATCAAGTTAGTTTCCACTTAACTTACACTGCTTATTGTGCACCATTAGGACTTTTCAGTTTACCAGTCGATCAAGTAGGCAATTACCACTAGCACAGGTTGGGTTACCATTTTTAACCATTTAACTTATTAGGCCGAGCTTTTTCTTTATTGGTGAAATATACATCGTAATTGGGATATGTTTGATATAACAGAAGTCATTTTTTAGGAAAGTATTTCACATGAGCAAATCATGTTTTAGTGTTTAGTCGACAGAAGTTATTTTCAAAGAAAAAAAAAAAAATCTACTCACAAACCAAGCACCAAAAAAATATTTTTGACAAAAATATTATTTAAAGAGAGAGTAATAATAGTTTTAACATTTCTTGACTTATTGCAACTTCGAAGTATAGAGAGTTCTACCAAATTACTGCCATCCTCCTCCATCAAAAGAATTGAATGTGCGTTACAGCGTTAAAACACAATTATCCAATTAAGCCGGCACAATTGGCAGATTGCGCCAGTAATTAGTCACTAAGCTGAAACTAATTAATCAATGACCTTTTCTTTTTGATAAAGAAGAAAATGGTTCTATGGGAAGTGGAGAAGAAAAAAGAAGTCTTTAAATATTAGTCCACATATTTCTTATGAAAATGTCCATCCTTGGATATGATAATTATATTGGATTTACACTTCTATATGTTTGTGTATTTATCATTAATAAACTTGTGCCTAGTTTATAAAATCGAAATATTCCTTAAATTGATTTTGTTTGCTAATTTTATTCGAAACTTTTCTCGAAGTAGTTAAAAGTATGTTCATTATATCTTTTACAACTTTATAAAACTATATAAGTATATATAACCGTTTTACGTTTAAGGTAAATGCTTACACCCCTTATCTCAAAATATTTTTCACTTTCAAAAATATAATTTTTGGCTGTTTTTGATTTTGGGCTGAACTAAAAAATTTGGAAAATAGTTTTTTGGAATTTTTCGAATTTCCAAAAAATTCTGAAATTCATCTTCAAGTGAAAATAAAAAATTTCATGGCCAAATGTTGATTTCGAAAAAAAAAGTAAAAAGAAATTTAAAAAAGGAAAAAAAAAATTATGCCCAAGCGGGCTCCTAGTGTGTAAGTTCTCTCAAGGAAGTTAATTCAGTTTATTTGGTTTGTAAGATCTCACAGAATCATCACTTTTTATCTTTGTTTGCTGCCGTAAGAAACCACCTTGACATTTTAGTAGAATTAGCATGTTTACTTGGGATTTCCGGTAAATTTTGTTAAGGTTTTCAACCATATAGTTCAGTAAATTTAAAATCTAAAAGATTAATTTAGTAACTTTTATTAAAAAGAACCGTAAGTTAGATGATTATTTGAAAAATTATGTTACCTTTGCCCTTTGAATTGGAACAAACAATCCGCAAAGTCTTTAGAAGAATTAATCCAAATAGCCATCCACCCAACCGTTTAAAGTAAAAATAGTCTGTGAAGGTATAATATATGTATAATTTATGTATCATATATGTATAATTATATATAATCAATGTATAAATTATGTATATGGCTAAAAAAAGTCCTGAGGCTTTACTCTGAAAGCCCAAGTCATACAAATCCATCGAAGAAGCCCGCGATAAATATGATCTATTTTGGGATTTTTACTAGTAGAAACTTATTTACCTATGTTCTTTATGGTTTGTAGTTTTTAATAAGTATTTAGATTTTTCTTATAAATTATATACATTTCTCATTAAAAGGCTCATACTCCATTATTAGTGCCTTCAATTAAGATATTCAATTACAGCCTTTCCTTTTTTTTCTCTCTACTCTTCTCTCCCCTTTTTTTTTACATCAAAATCTCTTAATCTACTCCCACAATCTCCATCTTCTCTCTTCTCACCATTTTCGACAACTTTATATCATTAAAAAATCGTCAACTGCATCGTTCTTTTGCTAGGAGATTGGACAACGCTGAAAATGAAGAAAATATTCAGGAATTGCATGATAATTGTATCATAATTGTATTTGAATTGTATCAGATACATAAATACCTAAAACATAATTGTATCATACTTGCATCACAATTGTATCTAACTTGTATATGGTACGTTAATACCAAAAATAATACCTGATAAAATATTAATAAATTAATATACAATTATCATATATTTGTGATACAAACTGTGAAATTCGTCATGAACTTGCAACTCCTTGTAGCAATATACAATGAATATACAATTATCATATATTTGTAATACAATTCCTTCAACAATTATGATATATGCAATTATATTACGATCGAGATACATTTCTGAAAAATTGTGACACAATTATGATCTTCATCTTATTCAAGTTTTAATCACAACTCTACACTAAAAATCTAATATAATCATATTATAATTGTATTAGTATCACATCAAGTATTTGTTTGGGTATTGATATATCATATACCAGTCATATACGATAAAGATTTTAAAAAAAAATAAAACAAGATTCAAAATACATTCACAGCTTGATTCTAGAGCAATATTCTGAATTTTGTCTGCATTATATCAATAAGATATAGATATTTTGAGTGATTAGTAAGAAAGATAGCAATTGAGTTTGAAAACCTTTGGAAAAGAAAAAGGAAAAGAATCGATTTGGGGGGGGGGAGCGAGGGGCTATAAAAAAAGAGATTTTGGGTGATTATTAAGAAATAGAGAAAATATTTTTGACATCCTTTGGAAAAGAAACAGAATCTTAAATGTAAGGGGGGTTATTGGAAATGGGAGTGGGTGTAGTATAACTTACAGGCTAAAATTAAGGGATCTTGAATTTTTTTTTTTTTTTTATGGTTTTGTATATAACTTTTTTTTGGTAATTAACTTTCTTTTGTATTAATCACCAAAGAAGAATTGTACAAATCCGTAGTCAAGCTAACTCAGCTGACTATCTCAAAGTTTAAAAGCAAACATAGCATACATATTTACACATATCACTAATAAATCTACTTTGTTCCTAGATAAAATTGATGCATATAACTCTTAGCTCGAGTAGCTACTCTAACATTGCAAATATATGCTATCTCCTTTGCAAGAACATCACTGCTTTGATATATTTGGTCAAATATACGTGTATTTCTTTCTATCCAAACTGCATATGAGGTCTCAGCATATATCATTCTGAAGATGCAAGCGTTATTGGACTTCCATTTTCCTTGCTTGATGATCTACTGAAGGTGTTGATCCCAGCAGGTGGTGATCATTTGTACACTTTGAATCCACTTCATGACTTTCTTCCATAGTTTTATAGTATATGGACATTGCACAAAGAGGTTCTCCCTTGATTTATCCTGACCTTGACACATAATACATTGAGGGATGACATTTAAACCCAATTGGCTAGCCTATCTTTAGTAGGCAGTCTTCCATGGAGCAACAGCTACATGGTAAAGACTGCCTTTGATTTGGCAGAGTTGTGAAAGACTAGATATTTCCAACTAACTCTTAGTAAGTCTCCTAACAGCTGTAGGTATATTTGTCTGATAATGCTCTTGTTGTGATCATTTAAGTTCTGTGTCTGTAGCATAGTTACTCTTGATCCAATTATTCTTCTCACCATCCAACTTTCTTGTTGTGGCAATGTCATATGTTGTAGTTGTTGTTATTTGATATAGTATGCATTAATCCACCTTATCCATAGCTTGTCCTGTTTGTGTGCTAAGTCCCAACATATTTTGGCAATTACTGCTTTGTTCCACAAAGGAAGGTTTATGAGATTAAGTCCACCAGTTGACTTAGGAGTACAAATATTTTCCCATGCTACTAATGCCTTCCTGGTTATTGTGTTAGTTCTAGACCAAATATAGCTTCTACAGAGTGCCTCTATCATTTTCAATACCTTATCAGGAAAGATGAAAAATTGAGCCCAATAAGCTTGAATACCAAAAATAACAGATTGAACCAACTGCACACGACCAGCATAGGATAGCTTTTTAGCAGTCCAGGAAGAGATCTTGGCTGTGATTTTTTAAATCAAAGGTTGTCATTGTATGAGAGCTATTTTCTTTGTAGATAAAGGAATGCCTAGGTATTTGAAGGGCAAGGATCCTTTTTCAAACCCCATGTGAGCCAATATCTGCTCCTTCACATTTTGTTTCACCCCACCAAAATACACTGAACTTTTACCCAAATTAGCCTGCAAACCTAATGCTTCGAAAAACTGAGAGAAATATTTGTATAATGTGACCAATGAGGATAGATTACCTTTAGCAAATAACAAGAGATCATCAACAAAACTCATATGAGTTATGTCCAGTTTCCTACACCTTGGGTGATACTGGAACGTAGGTTCCTTCTTAAGCTCATGCAGGGATCTGCTCAAATACTCCATCACTATTGCAAAAATATTGCAAATAGGAAAGGAGAAATAAGATCTCTTTGTCTAAGACCCTTAGCAGCATTGAAAGGTTCTGTGGTTTCTCCATTCACAAGGATAGTATAGTTGATTGTCTTGATGCATTCTATTATCCACTTGATAAACCTATCAGGAAAACCAAGCTCCTCCATCACCTGTTGTGGGACGATCCATTCTACTGAGTCATAAGCTTTTTGGAGATCAATCTTTATCATACACTTAGGAGATATCTGAGCTCTAGTGTAAGATTTGACTAGCTCATGAGCTAGGATGACATTGTCAGCAATCTTTCTACCATGAATGAATCCTGCTTGAGCTTCATAAATGATGAATGACATGACTTTCATAAAGTTAATTTTTGGTAATTAACTTTCTTTTGTATTAATCACCAAAGAAGAATTGTACAAATCCGTAGTCAAGCTAACTCAGCTGACTATCTCAAAGTTTAACAGCAAACATAGCATACATATTTACACATATCACTAATGAATCTACTTTGTTCCTAGATAAAATTGATGTATATAACTCTTAGCTCGAGTAGCTACTCTAACATTGCAAATATATGCTATCTCCTTTGCAAGAAAATCACTGCCTTGATATATTTGGTCAAATATACGTGTATTTCTTTCTATCCAAACTGCATATGAGGTCTCATCATATATCATTCTGAAGATGCAAGCGTTATTGGACTTCCATTTTCCTTGCTTGATGATCTACTGAAGGTGTTGATCCCAGCAGGTGCTGATCATTTGTACACTTTGAATCCACTTCATGACTTTATTCCATAGTTTTATAGTATATGGACATTGCACAAAGAGGTTCTCCCTTGATTTATCCTGACCTTGACACATAACACATTGAGGGATGACATTTAAACCCAACTGGCTAGACTATCTTTAGTAGGCAGTCTTCCATGGAGCAACAACCACATGGTAATGACTGCCTTTGATTTGGCAGAGTTGTGAAATACTAGATATTTCCAACTAACTCTTAGTAAGTTTCCTAACAGTTGTAGGTATATTTGTCTTATAATGCTCTTGCTGTGATCATTTAAGTTCTGTGTCTGTAGCATGGTTACTCTTGATCCAATTATTCTTCTCACCATCCAACTTTCTTGTTGTGGAAATGTCATATGTTGTAGTTGTTGTTATTTGATATAGTATGCATTAATCCACCTTATCCATAGATTGTCCTGTTTGTGTGCTAAGTCCCAACATGATTTGGCAATTACTACTTTGTTCCACAAAGGAAGGTTTATGAGATTAAGTCCACTAGTTGACTTAGGAGTACAAATCTTTTCCCATGCTACTAATGCCTTCCTGGTTATTGTGTTAGTTCTAGACCAAATATAGCTTCTATAGAGTGCCTCTATCATTTTCAATACCTTAGCAGGCAAGATGAAAAATTGAGCCCAATAAGCTTGAATACCAAAAATAACAGATTGAACCAACTGCACACGACCAGCATAGAATAGCTTTTAGCAGTACAGGAAGAGATCTTGGCTGTGATTTTTTAAATCAAAGGTTGTCATGTATGAGAGCTATTTTCTTTGTAGATAAAGGAATGTCTAGGTATTTGAAGGGCAAGGATTCTTTTTCAAACCCCAGGTGAGCCAATATCTGCTCCTTCACATTTTGTTTCACCCCACCAAAATACACTGAACTTTTACCCAAATTAGCCTGCAAACCTGATGCTTCGAAGAACTGAGAGAAGTATTTGTATAATGTGACCACTGAGGATAGATTACCTTTAGCAAATAACAAGAGATCATCAGCAAAACTCATATGAGTTATGTCCAGTTTCCTACACCTTGGGTGATACTGGAACGTAGGTTCCTTCTTGAAAGGTTCTGTGGTTTCTCCATTCACAAGGATAGTATAGTTGATTGTCTTGATGCATTCTATTATCCACTTGATAAACCTATCAGGAAAATCAAGCTCCTCCATCACCTGTTGTGGGACGATCCATTCTACTGTGTCATAAGCTTTTTGGAGATCAATCTTTATCATACAGCTAGGAGATATCTGAGCTCTAGTGTAAGATTTGACTAGCTCATGAGCTAGGATGACATTATCAACAATCTTTCTACCATGAATGAATCCTGCTTGAGCTTTATAAATGATAAATGGCATGACTTTCTGCAATCTAGAAGCCAAGATCTTAGAAATCATTTTGTATAGGATTGAACAACAAGCTATTGGTCTATATTTTTTGACTGTGGTAGGCTTAGTCACTTTAGGAACTAATGTAACAATGGTGCAGTTGATGGCCTTATATATCTTTCCCGTTGAGAAGAACTCTTTATATCATCTGTAATGAGAGTGTTGATAATGTCCCATGCTTTTTTTGAAGAAAACTACATTAAAGCCATCAATACTTGGAGCTTTGTTATCACCAATTGCTTTAAGACTCTCAACAATCTCTTGATTAGTTACCTCTGCACAGAGATCAACTCTTTGGTGATGAGACAGTATAGGACCATTCTTCATTATGATCTGTTGATAGCAAGCAAAGAAGTGGCAACTGACCCCATTAGGCTTTTGCAGAAATCAACAATCTCCCTTTTGATTGCATCAGGGTCAGTCAACCTGTCTCTTAGTAGAGTAGTGATTTCTGTCATTTGCTTCTTTTGAGTCATATCCTTCATTACTGTTGTGAAGTACTTAGAGTTTAAATCTCCAAGTTGTATCCGTCTTTCTCTAGCTTTCTATTGCGGGACACTCTCTTTAATTAATGACTAATTCTCAAGGTTGAGTAGTATTTTCTTATCCATATCTAATAAAGCATAATTGCAATTCAGTGAAATCTTCTCTTGGATAACCCTCAGATCTATTCTAGCCTTCTCAATTTTCTGAGTGATGCCCCTGAATTCCTTAGAGTTTAAAGCTTTCAAGGCAGGTTTTAGGTCTTTCAATCTTGTCCAAATTGATTTTAAAGTACCCTGTGTACTATGAGAATTTCACATGCTAGCTACTATTTGGGAAAAATCTTCATGTGCTGCCCATATGTTAAAAAATCTGAAAGGCACTCAACTAGTCCATGTTGAAGATGATAGTGTTAATAGCATAGGAGTATGGTCTGAAATTTGAGGCAGTCCATAAGTTGTTTCTACATGACCCCAGGTTATCATCCATTTATAATTACCAAAAACTCTGTTCAATCTACTGCCGACTCTATCTACTCTGGGCTGCTTATTAGACCATGTATAATAATCACCCTTCCAAGGTAGTTTTTCAATGTAGTATGTTGAAGGCAGGCATCAAAGTCTTGAATTTTTGAGTAGCGTACTGGATTACAAGACAATCTATCATTGTGGTATAGTACTGCATTAAAATCTCCGGCTATCAAACATGGTACTGCTATAATCAATGATAGTAGTTGTAAGTTATCCCATAGGGATCTTCTTTGTTCTAACCCATTGTATCCATAGACTACAGTGAGTAAACAATATATATCCCCTCTTCTACTTTTACCTAACAATGTATCATTTGAGCATCGTCTTTAATACCAGTAATAATCAAGTGACTGCTATTTCATAGTATTCAAATCCTTCTATTCCTAACATCCTTATAGTTTGTCAGTATACTTCATCCAGGAACAATACCTTTTGAGATCTTTGAGCATTCACTTCCTTCACTTTAGTTTCTACAAATCCTACTAGCTTGATTCTATTTCCCCTAATATACTCTCTAACCTCCTTCTGTTTATACCTTTTATTTACACCCCTTATGTTCCAAAACAACCAAATCATCATTGTTGAATGATAGTTCCACCTCTATCCCTAGTTGGGATGTGCTCCTCATGCCTACTTGTTGATATAGCTTCAAATCTATTCTTCACTGGGATGGGAGTCAAAGGTGGAAAGTTGATGAAATTAAGTTAAGGACTTTGCACTGATTTCCCTTTATCATTCTGCTTCTCAGCTACAAGTATGGTGTTGTTATTAGTCTTCATAGGATTAGGTGCCTTTGTTGTTCCTCTTTGATCTACAACTTTCACTTTGTTGCCAATTTGCTGATGTTCCTCAGATGAAGTATTCTGAGGACCTCCTGCATTATATATAGGTCCTTTGGTTCTCCATTCATGTGTGACAACCTGGTTACTCCTTGTTCTCCTTGTTTGGTTGGGCTGTTGCATCACAGGTCGTGGTTGGTTGTACACTTGTGTCCCACAACCAAACATTTATCACAATTAGACATGTTAAATGGGCCGACCCGACCCGGACCCGAACCCGTTGACTCTTGGCACGTGGGTCCTTAACCGGGCCGGGCCGGTTCACTTTTTTATAGGGCTGGTCCGGATTAGACCCATTAATCAAAACATGTTGACCCGACTCGGATCTGTAACCCGTAACCCCTTAACCCGAGTCCTAATAGGTCAAATCTAATTTAATTAGAAAAAGTTAAAAACTAATAAATGATAAAAATTTCAAACTTTTATACATATATACGAACTTGAAATTACTACATGTTATTGAAACCAATTAAAATAAAAATGAAAGAAAAATCATACTTTAGTAATATGGAATTCAATTAATTATGTATCTAATACATAAGAAAAATGATATTCTAATATAATATATTCTAATTCTCATTAGATACTCCATCCACTCCTTCAACATCGGACACGGTCAGATCTTCAGCTGAGTCTGAATCATCATTTATATTTCCTTGATTTCTTCTTTCTGCATATATCCAATCTCTAAAAGTAACGAGGACATTCAAAGTGCGAGGACTTAAAGATAATCTTCGCTTTCCAAGTTGTAATTTTCCTTGGCTAAATGCACTTTCTGAACCAACAGTTGAAACCGGAACCGCCAAAAAATCACGAGCCATTGTAGATAGCACCGGGTTGAATGGATTTAGTTTCCTTTTATAAAAGAATATATGTAATATTTTATTAAAATAAATCTTACTGAGCTCGTCGACGTCCAATTAGTCAATTACCCGTTCTACTACCATATTCATAAGGGTTGTCCGGGTCGGTTGACCCGTGGGTCAGTTACCGGTTCATGTCCGGTCCGGTTCAGTGGGTCAAAATATTGTAGCCCGGCCCAGGCCCCTTAAATTAATGGGTTGGTCCGGTTAGGGTTCTGTGGGTCACGTGCCGGTTAAAGGGTTGTCACACCTCCTCTTTCCGCCCCGCGAGGGGTGAAGGAGTTTTTTCCAATTAAAGGACAATCGAAACGGGATTTGTTTGTTTATTTCAGAGTCGCCACTTGGGAGATTTAGGGTGTCCCAAGTCACCAATTTAATCCCGAATCGAGGAAAAGAATGACTC